GGAACTCTTACTAATAGGTCTCACAGTGTTCTGCTCTTATGGATAAACCATTAAACCCAACTTTGTTCAATTAGAGTTGTGTGTGGCTGGGTCACGTAGCTGTAATTCCCAAGTACAGTAAGAATAACGTGGGATGAGGCCAGTGGGTCTGTACTACCCAAACTCAAATTCCTTTTCAGAAATACCCATATGATGCAGTCTATTAAGTTAAACACTATAAAAAGTAATTTATGTATAAACTTTTAAATAGCCAGGTTCTACTCATTCCAAATGAAAATGTTTCTGTCTTATATATTTATATTTTTATATTTAAAAGCTCCAAATAATAGAACTTTTATTATAGCCTCAAGCTCAGAAATTCTTTCCTCAGCTGTGTCTGGTCTACTAATGAACCTACCAAAGACTTTCTTCATTTGTTACAGTTTTTGATCTCCAGCAGTTTGCAAAAATTCTTTCTTAGAATTCCCATCTCTCTGCTTTCATTACCTGACTGTTCTTACATGTTACCTACTCTCCTATTAGACTAGCTCAGCATATTAATCACAGTTGTTTTAAATTTACAGTCTGATAATTCCAATATACCTGCTATATCTGAGTCTGGCTCTGATGCTTGCTCTGTCTCTTCGAACTGTGTTTTTTGCCTTTTAGTATGCCTTGTAATTTTTTGTCGAAGCCAGACATGATAGACTGAGTGAAAGAAACTTCAGTAACTAGGCTTTTAGTGATATGGTAGTAAAGTGTTGGGGAGGGGAGCCCTTCCATAGGCCTATGATTAGGGCTCAGTCTTTCAGGGACCCTTTACCTCTGGACTGTGAATGTAACACTTGTTTCTCAGCCCCACTCCCCTTATCTTAGGTGGAACAAGATGGCTAGAGGAAGCTGAAGTTGGGTAGTTCCCTTCCCTCATGTTGGTTAGGCTCTGATCAAACTCCAGTAGGTCAGGCTCTGATGAAATAGTTTTTCCTGAGGGTAGGTCTTATTAAAAAGAACAGAATGCTCTGGCATTTCTCAAGATGGTTACTCTTCCCCTCCCCTTGCTGGAAGCACAAGGAGATTTTTCTTTGATATTCACTGTAAGAAACTTGTAGAGCTCCAGGATCTAAAACTCACAAAACTCTGAGACCCTCCTAAAGTTTTTAACCTCAGATTTGTCTACACTGAGCCTCCAGCATTTCAATAATTACAGTTCAGGGCCAGGCACCATGGCTCATGCCTATAATCCTAACACTTTGGGAAGCAGAGGGAGGAGAATCACTTGAGGTCAGGAGTTCAAGACCAGCCTGAGGAAGAGCCAGACCCCATCTCTACAAAAAATAGAAAAATTAGTCAGGTGTTGGTGATGTGTGTCTATAGCCTCAGTTACTCAGGAGGACTGCTTGAGCCCAGGAGCTTGAGGTTGCTGTGAGATATGATGAAGCCACTGTATTCTAGCCTGGGCCACAGAGCGAGACTGTGAAAAAATTACAGTTCAGGTTTCCATTCCTATGGAGGTTTCTGTCCCAGTAAGTTGTACTTCTCTGTCTGCTGGTCTTTCTAAGTTTTGAGGCAGCAGTTTTCCCTGGGATCTTTCTTCTCTGTTGGAGCTAAGGAGAGTTGTTGATTTTTTTTTTCATTTGTTCAGCTTTTTACTTGTTAGGACAGAGTAGTGACTTCCAGGCTCCTTAATGCTTGACTGGAAACCAGCAGTTGGTTCTTCACAGAACTCTTTAAAGTTAAAAATAATTTTAAGTTAACTCACTCCTAAGCTCTAAAAACACTTTTCAGACATAGTAATAGTGCGTTTAGTAGTCTGGTGGAAAGAGTACTTGGTATTTGGAGACAGATAGGCAACATAATGGTGATTATATTTATTGCGAGAGATAATGTCAAGACAAAATGAAACAACCCACTGACTGCATTTGAGAGAATTAACCAGAGAACATAAAGCACTGTGAATAGCTTGGAAGGAAAGCAAATGCAACCAAAATGCAAAGTATCATAAATTTGTTGTGGTAAATTTTATGTGTCAGCTTAGGCTAGGTTGTGTTAACAGACAGCCCCAAGATCTCAGTAGCTTGTGATAACCAAAGTTAGGCTCCGTATTGATTGCAGGTCAGCTGTGGCTTTGCTCCATGTGGTCTTTATTCTGCAACTCAGGTTGAAGGGGTGGGCTCCTTCTGCGACATGCCAGTCAAAGGAGAAGCTTTTGTTAAAAATAGGCAACAGCACCTCTGCTCACATTTCTTGGCCCACAGCGAGTACTCTGCATTCAATAGGGCAGTGGTGAATATAGCATAGGAAAAGGAACTACAAGTCACATGGCCTCACATGACATCAGTGTGCCGGAAGGTATAATCTTCCCACAGAAAGGGTTAGCACATATTTTAAATATTAATATGATTTGCCATATAGGTTCTACCAAGTTCTTCCCTAGTTTATTTTGAGTTGGCTATTTAGAATTCTCTTATCTAGGACTTTCTAGTACTGTGATCACTACTGTGCAAAGTTTGTATTGGCTGCCTTGATACCTACTTTGAGGCTGAGTTCCTTTACATTCAGTTGCTAGAGGTTAAGGGGATAAAGGAATTCCTCAGAGAAATGTCTTTGTGAGGAGTGTTGGGCATGTGGTGAGATTGAAGACACAGCAGTTTCTCTCAAGGTATTTAGAGCCTGGTTTTCTAAATGGTGCCTCTCCAGGAAGTCCTTGTATAAGCATATGTTCCTGGAATCTGTGAGACAGATGGCAGAAAAATGACTCCTCTTTCATTCCACATCGAGTTTGGTTCTTGAGAAGCATGTGGTAACCCTGTTGCCATCAGATAGCATTTGTGTAATAATAAGAAAATATGCTGAGAGAATGATGGTCCGTTATTTCAGCTGTATAGGATAAAACTGCTAAATGGGCAGGATTAGGAACAAATTAAGTATAGGTAAGCTGTATTAAATGAATGAGTAGAGAAAATGCCAAGCAGTGAAAGCAAAAACTGCTTGTTTAGTAATAGCTAGAGTAAAAAGCATCAAAATCAGGTCAAATATTGAAATAGAATACAATAGCTTTGCAGGGGCCACTAATGATATATCATATTATGAATTGAGGAATATGACCCATTCAATTCTTTTTATTTATTTTTTTAAATCTTTTTAAAGACGAGGTCTCATTCTGTCACTCAGACTGGAGTAAAGTGGCACAATTATAGCTCACTGCAGCCTCAAACTCCTTGGCTCAAGTAATCCTCCTATGTCAGCCTTCCAAGCAGCTGGGACTATATTCATGCACCACCATGCCTGGCTAATATTTCTTATTTTATGTAGAGACAGGGTCCTGCTCTGTTGCCCAGGCTGGTCTCAAGAGATCCTACTGCCTCAGCCCTCCACCTCCGATAGTTCTAAGTGTGAGCTACCATGCCCAGCCTGACCCATTCAATTTAATTCTTTTTTTTTTTTTTTGAGACAGAGTCTTGTTCTGTTGCAGGGCTAGAGGTCCATGGCATCAACCTCAAACTCCTGGGCTCAAGTGATCCTCCTCCCTCAGCCTCCTGAGTAGCTGAGACTATAGGTGCTCACCACCATGCCTGAATAATTTTTTGTTTCTGTTTTTAGTAGCCTGGCTAATTTTTTCTATTTTTAATAGAGACAGGGTCTCACTCTTGCTCATGCTGATCTCAAACTCCTGAGCTCAAGAGATCCTTCTGCCTTGGCCTCCCAGAGTGCTAGAATTACAGGCGTGATCCATGCTGTAATGATCCACGTGTGAATGTGCTCGGCCCCATTCAATTCTGTAAACCTAAAGTTATAAAAGACTTCAATTTAAAAAGAAAGTTATTGTAGTAATTCCCCTCCCACCCTTAACCTCATGGAATATGTTCTAGGTTCCCTGGTGGATGCCTGAAACCTTGAATAGTACTGAACCCTCTATATACAGTCATGAGTTGCTTAACAACAGAGATGTGTTCTGAGAAATACATCCTTAGGTGATTTCTTGGTTGTGCAAACATTGCAGAGTGTACTTACACAAACCTAGATACTATAGCCTACTATACACCTGGGCAATATGGTACAGCCTATTGTTCCTAGGCTACAAAACTGTACAGCATATTACCATACTGAATACTGTAGGCAATTGTAACACAATCGTATTTGTGTATCTAAACATTTCTAAATATGGAAAAAATATAGTAAACGTATAGTATTATAATCTTATGGGACCACCACTGTATATCAGTCCATCATTGACTGAAATGTCATTATGCAGAGCATAACTGTACTATGTTTTTCTATACATATATACCTATGATAAAGGTTATTTTATAAATTAGGCACAGTAAGAGATTAACAAAAACAATAATAAAATAGAACAATTATAACAATATATTATAATAAAGTTATGTGAATGTGGTCACTCTCAAAATATCTTATTATACTGTACTCATCCTTCTTTTTGTGATGAAGAAGCAACAGAGTGGAATGATGAAAGATTTCACCACACTAATCAGAACAGTGGGCAATTTAAAATTTATGACATTTATTTCTGCAATTTTCCATTAATATTTTTGGACCACAATTGACCACAGGTAACTAAAAATGAAGAAAGTGAAACCATGAATAAGGGAGAATTACTGTATTTCTTCTTTATATTTTGGCCAAAGACAACTCTCTAATTCTTTATTTTTATTTCAAGAAAATATGAGAGTACAAACATTTTGGTTTCATTTTATATCTTTGCCTCTCCCTAGCAAGGGTTAGAGGTATGCCCTTCCCCTCCACATTCACGAAGATGGAATTAGTTCCATAGTTTAGCCTGACCAGAGCAGCTTTGCTGCCAAACACTAACTTAGTTGTTGCATTCTCCTGTTACCCAGAAAAACATTTGTGGTCTTCCTATTTTGTTGTTTTCAGTGTGTTAATTTATCTCCACTCAGAGTGCCCCTGCACATAACTGCTAGATGACCCACACAACACCTTTGCCTAAGCAGTGTCTTTCTAGAAAGCCAGAGGGAAAAATTCTTGCAGATGAAACTTACCCTAGTGCTGCTGGATTTGAAGAGGCAGATGGTGATTGGATTTTACGAGACGCCTTTGCTCTTTTTCTTCATTTTCTGCTTGTTTTTACATTAATCTCCTCTGTGCAGATCTGGCTAAGTGTGTGAAGCACCTTTCGAGGAGGTGCATTAATGATAAGCTGAAGTCTGGGTCACAGGAGAGCCTTACTGCCTTTCATTTGCAGTCTGGGAAGCCCCTTTTGGCCTTTACCATATTAAAGTTTTACAGCAACTGTGATGTTTAGAGAAAACACACATGCAGCATGGGCAAGGAAGGCTTGCCATTCTTCTCGGCAGAGGGCCTCCCAGCAGGCTGGATTTATTGAACTTTTTGTTTTCCTTCACCATTTGGATTTCCAAATACTTTTTATTAGTTCAGTCTTTAAGGCCAAAAAATCCAGCCAAATTGTAACAGAACACTGCAGCCTCAGTCCCCCGAAGCCAAGAACAACTGCTGTACTCTTCCAACTTGGCTGCAAAGCAACATCTGCTAAGTCTCATCCACTCACCACCCAGCCAAAGAGACATCATACCCGCAGTGCCGGCATTCTGTGAAAAAAATGTACATAGTGTATCTTGTACCTCTTCTTTTCCCAATATATTTTGCTTTATGTTAATGTTTCTAGTTTAGGAGTGACTGAAGTGATTTCATGATGCTTAACAAAACAAGGTTTGTTCCTTAGTTTGGGATCATTCATTCATTCTATAAGTATTTGTTGAGCATATGTGGCTCTAAAAACTCCTATCAGGTAATTGTCAGGTTGCCTCCTTTTTTTTTTTTTTGGTGATAGATCTTGTATTTGTGGTTTTTGGACTGCTCTGATCATAGTTCTGTGAGATACATACGTGCTGGAAGTTAAGTTGCCAGTTTCTGGTCAATTTGTTACATGGCTTTTCAAATTGTTCCACAGGGAGTTTATGTTCTTGGAAACAGAAGGAAGAAGTGTGGGTGTCATAGTCTGACTTAAATTCTCACTCAGCAGTAAGATGAACTGTCAGGGTTTAGTAAACATCACCTGCTTTTCACACTGTGCTGGGTTGAGGCATAGTATGGTGTGGTATGATATGATATGGTATACTATAGTACAGTACAGTGGGTGGATTTCAGATTCACTTAATAGCTCAAGCATCAACTTTGCATTTTCTAGCCTTGGGATCTTGGGTAAATGTCTTAGATGTCTGAACCTCAGTTTACTTAAAGCAATGGAAATGTTTGTGCTTGGAGTTGCTAAAAAAAAGTGAAAGTATTGTGGGTATTCATTAAATGCTCATTAACTGTTGCTCTTTCCTAAGGCAACCTAAGAGAAACAAAGGAAGTAGAAACCTCATTCCTTGTTCTCAAGAGCTAACAGTCTAGTTTGGGAGATGAGCCACAGAGTATATAAAATCACCAGAGGAAGTGCCTTTGAGAAGAAACTGAAATAGCATTAGTTAACTTATTCTGTTCCCTCATCACCATCAATTCTGAAAATGAACTACTGACTTTTCTTTTAAAAATGTGTTACACTTGATATCCAGAAAGATTTCTACAAACCCACAACCTTTCTCCTTGGGGGATATCAAATGCTTGGTTTTTAAATTAGGTTCAAACACGCATACATACATGCACACAAATATTATAGTGACTTTAGGGCTCCATTAGGATGTTCAGCTGAAAGTTGTGCAAATGTTTGATCCATCTGGTGACAGCTCATAAAACATGTTATTTCCACTGTTTGCAAATAATAATCTAAATAGAAATCTGCTTGAAGAGATTCTATTAATGTGTATGCACTGTAAAGCAATTTTCTTGCAATATTATACATTAAAAGAATTGAAACTCCCCTTATATTTGCAATTGTATAAATGTTTTTATACTATTTGAGGTGCAGGTTATGGCTGGGAAGCTTGAATGTGTCATTTGATAGTGCTTGGTCAATGCAGGTATAATCTCTAATAGGGGCCTCTTTTGAAGCAATTATTTTAAATCTTCATTGGTTTTATGCCAGCAGGTTCAGTGGAAAAAGCAAGGGCTCTGAAGCTAGTGAGACTTAGGTTCTAATACATATCCCTTGGAATGAGGTGTTCAAAATTTGCTGGGATGGTAGTGATCACATTTGCATAGGGGACATTCAACCTGCTGGGAGTAAGCATTGAGAACTTTCCCTACTCATGTTATACTATTAAAACATCTCTGGGCTGGGCATGGAGGCTCATGCTTATAATCTTAAGCACTTTGGGAGGTGGAGATAGGAGGACCACTTGAGGCCAGGAGTTTGAGACCAGCCTGAGCATGAGTGAGACTACATCTCTACAAAAGATAGAAAAATTAGCTGGGCATGGTGCTCTGGAGGCTGAGGTGGGAGGATTGTTTGAGCCCAGGAGCTTGAGTTTGCAGTGAGCTATGACGATTCCACTGCACTCTAACCAGGGAGAAAGTGCAAGGCTCTGTCTCAAAAACAAACAAACAGCACTCTGGTGATTGAAATCTCCCCCAGATGGAGAGCAGTGTAAGAAAGGCTACTTGGGACCTCTCCACGGGGCACTTGCTAGGAAGGTGAACCCCAGTGCCATGCCAGAGTGTCAGTTGTCTTGGGGGAGGACATGGTCTGGACACAGCTTGTGCCTGAAGCTGGAATCTCAAGCCTTATTCTTTGGCGGTGAGCTTACATGCTTTGGAGGAAGTCTTAATGACCAGCTGGGGTGTCTGCTGACTTTACATCTCACAAAGTTGCTGGTCTTACCCTTGGGGCAGTGTGGCTACAGGTTCTTAGGAAAGCTCCTGGGGGCAGGGGGCGGTTGTGCTATTCTGAAGCCTTGAGGTGGCACTTGTGAGCTTCTACTCCATTAGTGAAATTGGAGGAGAGGGTGTGGAGGTGGGAGGGTGGAGGGTGGGGAATAAGGTGAATCCTGGCGCAGTGACAGCCAAAGAAGACTGATGGAGTGTTAAAGCCTCAGAGATTGTGGACTCTTAATCATCACTCCCCTGGGAGACGGAATTAACAAATTAATTCATAGCAGAGTTGGAACTTGTTCTGCCTCTGGTTCTGATTCTCTCTCTGGTCTGATCATTTTAAATGAGATAATACACATATGAACCTAGGAGAAAGGAACAGAAATAACTTATTTGGCTAGCCTTTTACTTGCTGTGGGATTGCCTGTTGCTCAGATGTCAGCGGCCGCTATTCTGAGCCCCTGCACAACTCTGCCCAGCTGCCCCTCTAGGAGCTCCTGCATCCCTCAGTGTATTTTTTTGAGGGGAGAAATATAAACTTTGGCCCTTCCTTGATTACTCTCCCTGTGTCAGAGTGTTATCTGGGGTAGAGAATCAGAGCTCTACATGGCATTGTTCATGACTTTCTGAATGGATAATTCTCAACCTTAGAGGGTATTGGGTGCAAAAACATTTATTTTACTTGCTTTCCATGTTTGACGACAAATTAAAGCAAGAAAATGCATATGGAAGTGCGTTGCAGTAGGACTCTTTATTAGAAATGGAAGAATGCAAAGCATTCAGAGAAAAGTATTTTTAAGGTTTCCTAGAAGATCAGAGTGAAGTTTAATATTGCCTCAAAGTAAACAAGTATTTCCGTGTTAAAGCCCACCAATGAAAGACCATCAGGAACACACTTGTTTGGATTTGTTTTTCTTGCTGTTGTAAGACTGGAAGCATCTTAAAGGAACCACGAGGAGTTGGGAGAAGCTTCTTATAGGATGTGGGTGCATACTGGATGATTCAAGGGGAGGCTTAAGGAAGTGGGGGCCAATTCTGAATTAGATGTTTCAGGAAGCAGGGGCAATTTTGTGATGGTATCTTAATTATTAAGATAGAAGGACCACAGTCGGATGGGAGTTCTCCTTGGTGAGGTAAAGGAGTAGCAGTCACTCATGTTAGACAGAAGAGGGGGATATTTCACCACTTTTGTGGTTGCAGAGTGGCCTTATCTGTGTCTCCCTCCAAATACAAGCATAGAGTGGCCTTGTTTAGACATTGTTTCTATTCTATGGTGTGGTTTATATTGCATTGGGAACATCATGGCCCATGGCCCATGGTTTTTTTTTACTTTCTTACCTGGTTTCAGATATGAATATTTATTTATTCCGTCTTCTGGAAGGCAAAGAAGGAAGTCATATTCTGAGTGTGGGGCATGGCTGAACACTAGGACAGAGGGTCTCTAACTGGGTTTTGGAGGTTGTGTAAAGGACAAGAATTAAGTTACAGGACCCAAATGGGAAGCAATAACAACCAAAAGCCAGGGAATGGAGCATACCAGAGAAGGTAAATGGGAGATTACCTTGAAGAGATTCCAGAGGCTGAGTGCAACTCCTCCTGCAAGCATGAGTTTGTGCGTAGCTACACATAAGGAGCATGCTGGTACATATAAGGAGCCCGTGGCACATGTAAGGAGCATGCTGGTCCATGTAGGGAGGCTAAAAAGGGTGAACAGCATTCCTGTTTACTGACTTCAAATCTATCAACCAAATTCCCTCCCCAACTCCAAGGCAAAGTTATTCGTTTAACCTCCCTGTGATTTTACCTTCCTGTGATTTTTCATATAGTCTATATTTATATACATAATGTTCATTTAAACCTTTACTTTATCTACATAGCAATGAGAAGGGTAAAAAATTAACACTGGGCACTTCTGGGAAGTGATACTTAATGGTTTAAGGAGACATTGTCACTCTTTGCTTTATATGCTATGTATTATCTGAATTTTATGGGCTAATTTATTTATTTAAATTTTTTTATGTTTAATTATTTTGGGTACATAATAGTTGTATATATGTACAGGGTACATATGATGTTTTGATACAGGCATACAATGTGAATTAATCAAATCAGGGTAATTGGGTATCCATCACCTCTGGTATTTATCATTTCTTAGTGTTAGGAATATTCTGATTCCACTCTTTCAGTTATTTTAAAGTATATCCTAAGTTATTGTTGATTATAGTCACTTTGTTGTGCTATCAAATATTGTTCATTCTGTCTATCCGGCTACATTTTTGCACCCATTAACCATCCTCACTTTTCCCCCCCTCCCTGCTATGTACACTTCCCAACCTCTGGTAACCGTCATTTTACTCTCTGTCTCCACAAGATCAGTTGTTTTTAATATTTAGCTCCCATGTATGAGTGAGAACATGTGAGATTTGTCTTTCTGTGCTTGGCTTATTTCATTAACATAATATTCTCCAGTTCCACCCATGTTGTTGCAAATAGCAGGATTTCATTCTTTTTATGGTTATATAAATTCCATTGTGTATATGTACCACGATTTCTTTACCTGTTTATCCATTGATGGACACTT